AGTTGGTTTGAAAAGTTGACTCAAATATTATATAATTTATAATAAGAGAATATTAACTCACTATTTTTTATTCTATATTTGGCTCATGTGTTTCAGTAATTTTGTATTCAGTAAAACCATTATTGTATTTTTAGGCTTTAATATTAACGAGAGTTAATCCATTATTATAAACTTGAGAGAATACTACACACCACACGCATTGTCTCTGTCCTACAAACACAAAACACATTAAATTATAAGCGAGTTATAAAAGCATTTAACATTATCTGTGTTCTTTTAGGATATTTCTATTAGTCTGTGATAATTCTCATTTTTAAATTCTAATAATTTGCATACTCGACTTGAAATATTGTAAAAAATCCAACGTACAAACACATAATGATTATATCTCATACTTCGTTGTAATATTAATGGTAAAAAATTAAGAATATTCTGGTGAACTGAAATTTCATGTTTTGCTGACATCCCCTCAAAAGAAATAGAAAATGATTAATTTATAATGTAAACAATTATACCCAAGTTGTTGGGAGAAAAATCTATATTAATATAATTATTTTAACAATTAATTAAATAATATTTTTAATTTCAGAGTCATCCGTCTTTCTAAATCGTTATTATATGGTTAGATGGTTATACGGTTATTACAATAAATAATGTTGTCCATGCTGTTTATGTATAGAAAAAGCGGAATTGTCATTGTACATTCTGAAAACATTAACTTAACAATAATTATAATTATTAACAACAATTTTGATAAATAATAATATAATGTGTCAAAGAATTGCATTTTTAGTAGATTATAATATTCCATTGTATAGGATGATTTTTTAAGCATGATCACCCTAATTTTTCCGTTTAATACTACATTTATTCAAATTCAGAACTTTAGAATATTTAAGTGTACCTAAGACCACATTTTCAAATTCCTAATATTTGTTGTACTACATAAGGAGTTTCCTTTCTATTCTTAAAATGAAAACCCATCCTTTTTGACTGCAAATTGTTTGGTGAATGATTTTCTTAAAAATGTTGACTTAGATAAATGTCGACTTATTAAAATGTTTATATTAAGGATAATAATCCTTAAAAATGGCTTTAGAAAAATATTAACTATTATACACGGTGCAACAGAAAAAACTGAACAAAAAAAAAAAAAAATTGTATGCTACTTAAACGCATGACAAAAATCGATAAAATTAATGATTAGTAAATAGTTTAAGAAGTATACCCATATTCTCAAATGTCCAAAATAACATTTTTAAAAAAGTTATTGCGTTCCAAATTAATTTAACCAAAAAATATGGATATTTTAAAAAGTTCTAAAGAAAAAACTACTTGACTTAGATAAATGTTTTTACCATCCAAATTGTTCTTATAGTCAGATTCACAAATTGGCTATTTTGAATTTATTCAAAACATTTTTTATAAAATTTTTTATTTTTTATTTTCAGTATTAAAAAATAAAAATATTTTTTTTTAAGTAAATTAAATTAATTAGTAATACAATCCGATGACCAGCATCATTAGTTTTAATCCAATCTGTCATAAGTTTAACAAACTATTTTTCTTTATTAATATTTACATTAGCTATGTCTTTATAAGGATATGTTTGACACATTACTTCAGATTTAAGACTGGCAATATAATATAATAAGTTATTGTATTAATATTAGATTAGTAGGTATGATGAAAAATATTAAATTACTGTTCATGTTATTTATTACTAAAAAATATGCCTATTATTAAAATTTAATAATTAAGTATCTGGTAAAAATATTTATGGTAATATTTTCCAATCAGTCTACCCGAGTAATTATTTCTGTTAAATTCTGTTTACTTGTTGTTCCCCAACTTCTCTAACTAGGTACTAATATATTATTATGTGTACTTATATTATTTATGTATCAGTATCACTTTTGAATTTTTTTGATGTCTCTGGACGCAATTTATGGATGTTTCAAAAGTACCCAAGCTGCAATTTACGAAGTATATGACTGATCTTTTTTAAAAACCTATTTTAATTTATAAAATGTTTGTCAATTAAGTAATAATATACATGATGTAAATAATGGGTCCTTGTTTCTACAATTGGTTAAAATACATTTAAAAATTGGATACCTACGACCTACCTACTTGAATTATCAGTTATTAATTAGTATTATTACAACATTTTCACATTGACAAAACAAATTTATAATATAGATAGGTAATGTATAAGATAAAAATTAGTTATATTTTACTATAATAGTTTAGCACTAAAAAGCAAAAGGTATATAATATAAACATAAATTATATTTTAAAATTGTTATTATCTGTTAAAAAAAAACGCTTGTAAAGGCAAGATCGATATGTAGACTTGATCTTTCATTTTTGGAGAATTACTAACTTTATGTTTAAACTTTATTAAAACAGTATTAAACCAAATTATACTTCAGGCTAAGGTCTGAAACTCATCAATACACTTCTCCTAGCGAATGTAATTCTGACAAGACCTTCAACAGTTCAACAACAAAATACCGTTCCAGGGATCTGCGTTGCTATAGAAAAATCTTAAAATAAAATTGATTTTTTTTAATGGTTAATGGTATTTTAATTTTCACATTTTGTATCTACATGAGAATAATTTTGAATAAGGTATCAACCTAAATTTTAAACACTTATAGTTTAAGAGATAAATTTAAAAAATAGTTTTAATGACTGATAACAACATTCTGGATTTAAATCATTATACCACTCTTGCATGATATCAAATCTATCTCATTAATATTTTATACTATACTAGCTAACATAATTGTTGACGCCTCAAGTTCGTAGAACGATTGGTTTCGATGGTTTGGTTTAAATAATTATACTACACGATTGGTATCGGAAAAAGTTGTTTTTAATATTACATAATCGAATACAATAACAAGATTTTACTATTAACTGATGGGACTCGAACGTGCGGTATAAAGATAATACAATGCCAGCATTACTCCGACTATTGCATTATGAGTGGTCTTTGTATATCAATCGGATACAATTCCGGAATAACTCTGGCTATTGGACCATGGATTGGATATATACCGCACTTCGAGTCCGGCAGGGAGATTACCTTTCGAGCCGTGCAAGTCTGCCTGGTAGGTCTTGCTCCGGCGCCGAAAAGGCAGTGAATGACATCGGTTTGGACTTGCCTTTGTAGGACGGCCTACGGCCTATATAGAGCTCCAGGCTTTGCCTTTTATCTCTTGTTTCATGTTTTTCCCTCACAGTAGGGGACGATTCGTCAGTTTGTCATGGTTTATTGGGCCAGAGCCCGAATGTGACGGAATCTCGATACAGAAGCTCTATGTAAAAATACAGCTATTGCCGACTGTATTGTTTCCGAAATGGATAGAATATCTGTTGACTGTCTTATTGCTTTATTTGTAGTTAGTTAATATGCTCCGGTTATTGTTCTGAGTGTAATGTTTTGGACAGCCTTCAAACATCGGTTTGACCGGTGCTTTGGCCTTTTATACCCATCGCGAGGCGGCAACGCCGTACTCTCGTGCGATGGATAAAGCAGTTGTGGCGACCGGTCAAACGATGTACAAAGCTGGACAAAAATAAAATCGGTAATTAATAACAATTTTTAATGAGGTTTGATAAATATTTGGGTTTAACAGATAATGATAAATATGGAATGAGATAAAGATATATACATTCGTGGAAATAATATAATTATACACCAATTCATTATGACCGAGTTTTCAAAATTCAGATGTTTTTCATTCCAATTACTTCTAAACCAATAATTAAAATCAATAAAGTACAACATCGGAAATACAGTCACATTAAAAAAAAAAAATAATACAGTGACTTTTACTACTATTGTCTACTTTATTCTAATATAGTCAATATTACAAACATTGGCAAATTATTCCGTAGTTTAAAATTCAAAACGTGTAGAAAATTGTAATAACAGTGGAATGTAGAAATAAAATCATTATTGATGATAATTCTTGTAAGAAAAACTAGATTGACTAATAACACAACATATACCAAAGTTGAAGATTGAAGATTTTTCTTTACTATATAGTCTTCACCGAAACAAAAACACAAACCATTGTAAATTCAATAATATTTTATCCAATATTCTGCTCAGAATCTAAAAGAAGAAAATGTCTGGTAAAGGTGATTTAGGTATACTATATTTTTTGTTTATTCTTCAACTTGTGATATAGGTTATTGTGTAAAAAAAGTAATATCCATATTTTATATTAATATTATTAAGCAATTTAAGTATTTAACTGACCTAAATAACAAAGGTTTTGGTGGAGACAAACCATATTTCTTTTACAATATTTATTTTTAAAAGGTATATTTTATAAAATAATAGTATAACATATATAATATATTTATATAATATCAATGTCAGTATGTAAAATAAGAACTAAAAAAATTTCATTAATTCTATTATTTCTATTAATAGGTTCATAGCAAAGATCTGGGGGGAGGGGCAACAATTTTTTTACAACACAAATACAATTATATTAAAATATTAAGGAATACTTTAATCTTAATTCTAAAATGTTGTCATAATAATAGGTAGATATATGTAACCATGGGGAACGTCGTAATCATTACCACCTGGAACAAGTTCATTGCGACGCTCCGTAGTTTTCTGTGGATTTCTTTCGTTAGAGTTATCGGTTTTTTGTGAGGTTCGGATTAAAAGCTTCTTACGGTTCCCGTGGTTCTTTTGTTACATCCCGCGCGAAAATCGGTTCACCTTATCCGAAGTTGTGACGATAAGTTCAAAAAAACGCGGTGGCGCGGATCGACAATTCTCCACGTCTTGGTTATATCATTGGATGCTTCTAGTCATTCTTAATACAGGGACACCTACCTCATAATTTCGAGGCAAATAACGGATGTGTATTCAATTATTATATTACACTATTTGCGACTCGCTCACTGGGCTGCCTACGGTCGCACCGGTTCTCGAGTCACGGTGATCCAAGTTACATCAACGGTAGATGGCCAGACCTATACGGCTATACCATAGGTCAAGTATACCAAACAGCCGAAGGCGGCGAGGTGATCATAAACAGGTTCGGGAACACCCGTATCCAGGAACCCCTCGTTGCTGCTTGGAAAAGGCCCAACAATTCCGAGGATATCGCCGAAGAAGAAGTCACAGGCAAGTCCTACAATTACGTGGACAAATGCATCTCGCATCCGTGCTACACAGACTCGGCGCACTCGTCAAGTCACTTGGCAGCAGCCCTCTGGGTGAGGAAGCCAGCCAAATCGCTAGGATAATCAATGCGCTCAACAACCACACGCCAGCCTCTGGTGCAACTCCAAATCCACCTCCACAGAGACTCAGACGAGCAGGCCGAACAGCCCACAAACCGACATTTGAATATGTTATGTCGGAACCTTGCCTGATATATATAAAATCTTAGGTGGCAGGTGCACATATTTTGTATTTTTCATAGTTCTCCAAGCGTGTCGTGGTGCACACAAAAATAGCCACTGCTGCACTATACAGTATAGGTATAACTAGTGACGCAGCTCAGTGGTCTGAAATCCAGTTAGGCGGAAAAAAGTCCATTTTTAAATTTGATTGAAATAAAAATTGTTTTGTATTAATCCAATATATATATATCATAAGGAATATAAGAAAATTATCTAATATTGAGCTCATTAAACTGCTCAGGCGATAAGAAAAGTAGATAATGTTTTCATGTAACTGTTACTTTAGCATTTATTCTCATTTAAGTTTTGTTGATCATTGTATAAGTATTCGTTTGTTTTTTAGATTCTGAGTAGAGCCATGAATGTATAGATTTTACAATGATGTGTTTTTAATTTTTTTCGTCATTACATTTTGGTGCAGTAATAAAATGCTTAGCTTTTCTACTTCAGCATCGTTTCTGGTATTAAAGAGAATCTAGAAGGAAAATCGATTCTGCACAATTAAAGATTGGTATGGTCAGGCCATAGTATCAATGACTAATTGTAGATAAAAAACGCTTGTAAATTTTCTTGATTTTTAATTTTTAGAAATGTATTAACTGATATCACACATAAGCGGTAAAACAATTTGAATCCAGAAAAATGTTGGTGTGAAGGTGAACAGCCCTACAAAAAATCATTTTTATTTTCATTTAGTGAGATAGATTTCTGAAATCAGAGAGCGGATTTCATTGTTTGGGGTTTTGTTAGATTGACATTTTTTAGGAGAAGTGCAGTAAATATTTCCCGATTTCCGGGACTATATCTTTAATAGTCAATTCACTACAGAACATTAAAAAAATTGAAAACAAATTTTATTGGGCGTTTTTTATGTTTTCAGCTTTACAGCTTTGTAATGAATTAACGATTGGAAATAAAGTTATGAAAATCTTTACTGCATTTCTCCTAGCCAATGTGAATCGATTATCGAACAAGATCCCAAACAACAAAATTCGTTTTGGAAATCTACCTCGCTAAATGAAAATCTAGCGAAAATAACTATTTTTTTTATCTGTGAAAATTTAAATATTTTTTTTTTTAAATTTTAATTCCACATTTAGTATCTACCAGATAATCCCTTTTTAATGAGTTATAATCAACCAATTTTCTAGCTGTCATAGTTTAGGAGAAAAGTTAAAAAATAGAAATTTTGGGAATGTTCACGTTGACGTTTTTATGGATTTAAGTGGTTATACTATTGTGATATCAAATTTCTCTCATTAATATTTTATATTAAAGATAGCTAAATTACCCACCTACTCACAGTCTTGGGTAGTAACGTAACGCAAAATTACAAATTACTGTAACGCAATTACTTTTTCACTAGGTAACGCAGCAGTAATTTCATTACATTTTACTTAAAGTAACGCAATTGTAACAAAATAACTTTTGAAAAGTAATTTCTATGAAGTAACGCACTAATTCGTTATTTTCCACGTTTTTAAAATAATAGTTTTGGATGTGTTACAAAAACAAGCCGCTATTATAGGTATCCCAGAAAAATTTAAAAATCAATTAAATTTATTTTTGATTGCGAAAATAGTTAAAAATATTACTAAACATTTCAGGAATAAATGTTATTACTTTATAAGCAGAAAGAAAAGAGTTCGGTTTAAAAATAAAATTTAATTAAAATTAATTTTGATTTTAATTTATAGCCATATACCTATAGGCTATAAGTGAGATGATTGTACATATTTTATTCATAATACTATAATGGTCTATTATCACTGGCAGTGCCGTAAAAACCGGGTGTGCAAAGTGTGCACCGCACACAGGCCTCGGACCTCATAATATATCGAAGGGCCTCAAAAGATCAAAAGACTAATATTAAACTAATATAAAATTATTAAAATATATAAATTATTTATTATTGATTTGGAAACGAAACCAATGTAATTTCATTTTTTTTTTATGTAGCATGGAGTCGTGATCACTAATCACTGTTTTTAGATTTTGAGAGGAACGAAAAAATATATTGATTTTACAAGATGTGTATAATTTTTTTCATTTCTGTCGGACGTCGGTCATCAACATTGGGTAGTAAATTCCGAATTTCGAGATCAGCATTTTTTCTGTTAAAAAAGTGAATCTAGTTGGTACTTTTTGGAGATCGAAACCGAAATTTTTAGTTTTAGATATTAAAAAGCGTCAAAAAAAAAAAAAAAAAAAAAAAAGGTGGGCAAGTGGATGTTGCTCTGCTGTACAGTAGGTTACAAATGGGTCACTGTATAATGGATGATATTAAATTTGAATTCAACGATATAATATCATTGTATAAGAAAAACGATTCTGAGAGGAGACGGTATGTCAATCTAGGTATAAGGCATATTATATACATATCTATGGTATTAAACAAAAAATTGAGCTATAATAGGTACCTACAATAAATTCAAAATTAATCATATCACAATATCCATTAGGTACTTATAACGCGTTATACATCAACGAAAACCGTGATACTATCATATATATATATATAATAGTACACTTTAGAAGTTTCAAGTACCCACGAATAATATTATCAATCACAACAAAATAACTAAAATAGTTATTCTAGGTTTTTTAATATGTAATTTCGTCCAAATTTGAATTTAAAATGTCTGTAAAAAATAACTGTGTTCATTTATTTTTTAGATTTTTTGGTTACAGTATGAATTATTTATGAGAACCTTTGTTTTAAATTTGCAATCCTTAGCTATAAAAATTGAACATTTTATAATTTATTAATTACAATGATCGACAATTTTCGAGATTTTGATAAATGTTGTCAAAATTCGATCTTTAAATGCTTATAAAAAAAAACTATGCCTATGTATTTTTAATATTTTTCAACTGATATTGTAACAATATATTAGGAGCCTTGTATTAAATTTTTACACTTTTTGGCCCAACAGATGAAACTTTATTGATATTTATAGAAAAAAAACTAAAAAAAATTGAAAGCGGTAAATGTCCGTAAATAGCTCAAAAAGAGTCAAAATATTTTCAAAATTGTATGGTGTATATCACCGAAAAAAAAGCCATGTTCATGATGATAAAATTATACGTGTGTTTGACCATAATCTTGTAGATATAAGTCCAACAATTTTTTTTGTCAAATTGATAATCATTGATATTGTAAAATTTTAATAACAAAATAATTATCAAATCAACAAAACAATTGTCAATACAACAAAAACATACTATTTATAATTAATGACAATTTTGTATTGACAACAACTGATTTGTCAAATTAATAATATTATTTTATTATTTAAAACAAATATTACTATACATTTTAAAGTAGGCACTCTCACCACTACAAACATTTTTTATCAATTGAATACAGAATAATTTATTGAGTTGACAAAATTATACTATCAAATCAATTGTCTTTATTATATTTTAACGACACACTTCGGACGTTTAAACAACCCTCATCCCTTTCCATGATCAAATCTCATGTAGTCTATCATCTGCTTGATGCTTCATCACCATTCCCCAACTATATATTGGGGTCGCTACATGAGAAATCGAGTGAATATCCAATGTTGTAAAAATTTGAATTTCAAACGCTCATAAAAATTTAATTTGACTTTCTTATAGACATTTTTTTTTTTGATAAAGGTAGATAATCTTATAAGGAATCTTGTATTACATTTTCAAATCTTAGATTAAAAAAGAAAAATTTTTACGAATTCTTAACTCAAAATAATTTGCTAATTTTCGTGATTTTTCCATATTTTGTCAATTTTTGAACTTTAAATGCTTATAAAAAAAAATGTTGATTAAGGATTTTTAGTATTTTTCATCTGCCTTTGAAACAATATACTAGGAGCCTTCTATTAAATTTTCAAGCTTTCGCAAACAACAAATAAAATTTTATTGATACTTTTAGAAAAAAAAACTAAAAAAAAAATGGAAAATGAAGACGTCCCTAAACAGTTCAAAATAAATCAAAATATTTTGAAAATGTTATCGTGTATATAAAATGCAAATATAAACAACCAGTGAAAATGTCATGTATATACGTTAATTTCTTTTAGAGTTACACCAAAAACCAAAATCGATTTTTTGGAAAACCGATTTTGCGTAAAAATTCCAGTTTTTCCTTAATTTGTATGTTGTTTTTCCGGGCGCTTGTCAAAACTACTATGAAATTTTTACTTTTGACCCCCCAAAGTACCAACTAGATTCATTTTCCTATCAGAAAAGCTACTGTTGAAGAAAATCCAAGCACTTTTACTGTCCTAAAACGTGATGACAGAAACAAAAAAAAAATAAAACAAAAAAAACACACATTATTGTAAAATCAATACATTCATCGTTTCACTCAGAATCTAAAATTGTCTATTTACCTAAAACCAAAAATTTTATTTTTTGGTGTAACTCGAAAACTAAAAACCGAAGAAAATTTAAGTTTTCACCAAATATTTATATGAATATTTTCAATAAATAACATTTTGGAAAATTTTTACTTTTTTGAGTTAGTTATAGCCTTGAGAAATTGTTTTAAAACTATAGATTATTTTTAATTAAAATTTTTTTTTTGTTTAAGCCCGAATTTTTGTCTGCTGACTTTAAAAATTATTGCAAAAAAAGTTTTTGAGGTGTGTATTGAAAAAGATAATAGGGGCCTCAATATTTTGGTTTTGCACACAGGCCTCAAGTAGCCTAGTTACGGCACTGATCACTGGGTCTATGATTGTAAAATATATACATAATAATTGAATCATATGAATTTTATGTAATATGGTTCAAAAAAATGTATAAAAAAGTAATGTTATTCGTAATGTAGTAACTCGCACTACTTTATTAATGAAAAAGTAATGTAATGTGATGAAAATAATTTTAGGTGACGCAAATATAATTTAAATAATAATATTTGAAGTAACGAATAACGTAATTTTATTACTTTTTAAAAAGTAATTTACCCAACACTGCGGCTACTCATCATTACTGAGTTACATTTTTATTATTTTCCTATTTAAGGGGCCTCGCAATGGCATTGATTTAAGGAGAATCATTTAGGCAATTTCTAATCTCGTCATCGCCACCCGAGATCTATGTGTTAGTCGTAAATGATTATTAGTGTGTGTGGCGTCCATGCGGGTCAATTGTAGCTCTCGCACGCACTCGCACACACATGTCAATATATAATAATATTGTGATCATGAAAAAATGCTTATTTTTCACTTAAACATACGATTCTAATTCCAACAGTACGTCGCAACGATTACCTCAATTTTCATTCTGACAAAATATTCTTATTTTCCACAACATGTACGAGGGATCGATCGAGGCACATTTTTAAAATTGTATTTAGTTAATTAAATATTTAAGTTGGAAATTCTGTATTTTTTTTTGATTTTTTTACAATTTTTATTGCAATTTAAATTACAAAAATTAAAAATGTGGCTCGATCGTTCCCTTGTATATATTACGGACAATCAGAATATCTTTTCAGAATGAAAATCGTGATAATTGTCGACACGTATCGTTGGAATTAGAAACAGTAGTTTTTGACCAAAAAAAGACTTGGTAGTGAGGCCCCTTAACAGAAATTCTCGAAGTTTTCAAAATTCATTTTTTTTTCATTTCAATTTTGACATTTTACTTTCTTGATTTTTAATCAAGTAAGTAAAATGTCAGCCTGTCACCCACATAGACCTATTAAGAAATGGACTGCGCGTTCCCTATAGTACCCACAGGTTTGACGATTTGAACACTGAGTGAGAGAGACAGACTATAACTTACCCCGAATGTGGAAGAAATAATAAAATAGTTTATTTTTCTAAGGTTTGATAAGAATTATCTTAACTGATAAGAGTGATAAACAAAAATTATAATTTGATTTGGTACTTTTCAAGTTGTAAACTTTAAATTCGAAGTCCTGCAAGCTTGTTTGAGGCGTTTGAGCCGTTTGAGGTGCAATTGTTTTTTTAATTATTATTTAATTACCAGAATAAAACATAAATTAAAATGGTGAACAAATGCAGCATTCGAGGATGTCCTACGGACCTAATTTATAATTACTAATTTTTTTTATAATTTTTCAATTACCTATATGTAAATGAGTAAATGTAACTATGTTTTACTATGTAAAATTTGTCATTGTTGTGAATTATGATTTCTATATTATCACGATTGATTACCTTGGAGAAATTAGTGATTGCTACTTTTCTTCCATATTCGGGGTAAGTTGTAGTCTATCTTTCTTACTCAATACTCAACGATCAAACTGGTTTTCTCTCTCAATGCGCAGTCCATTTCTTAATAGGTCTATGGGGTCACCCACCCAAATGGCGCTCCTGTGATGTTCAACCACGGTTTAAGGTAGACTTAAACCTAACCTAACCTAACCTAACCGTCCATCTTAAACCGTGTGTTCAACTTAAACATTGTTCTATGATTATACGTGGGACATAAGCGTCCTGTAGAATGTACATTGTTCTATGTTTACATGGACTTTACTTAACCTAACCTAACCTTTTCATATGTTACTATGTACAAGTTTTTTAAACTATAAATTCAAGTTTTAAAAAAAAAAACATCGTTATTTTTTTCGATACATCGAGATATACAGGTTACTCAACGAAACTTATTTTTTGGTGCGCTTAAAATTTACGATCCTGTCATAGCAAGAATAACAGTTAGCGCTTCTGCATTATAGTGATTTCTCTTGGTACTACAAAATACATCATTATCAACAATATCAAAGTTGATAATATCAACAGACAACAACAACTATCAAATGTCAAATGTCAATAGTAAAATATTATACATATTTCCATTAGGCTGTGTAAGAAACCCTCTAGTTTTCATTTCAACAAGTTCAGATTTAAAAGTGTTTATTTCTGAATTATTATTTTTTAATCCACTGATACATAATGTGCACTTATGTTAGTAAATAGTAATTTATATTATATACATGCCTTTGCTTAAAATCAACTGTTTTTCTAAATACCTTTGGCTACAGTTATTAAATGTATTTAAAGTAAAAAATGTTACAGCAACTGGAAAATTACTATCAACCATCGAAATATCAAAAAACCATCCTTTTGGCAGAGTAATGGAGCCAATTTGACTCAGCACTGAATCAAATAATGATTCGTCTTGTACTATAACTTCATGTACCCTTTCAATGTTACTTTCAAATTTTCAATACATTCTGTAACCTAAGAATCAACAAATTTCCAAGTTTGTTTAATTTGTTTGTACCTATGCCCTATAAAGCTGTAGTTATATACAACTGAAAAACAAACCATCGAAACACAAGTTCGCTTAGCATCAGGATACTGAAATTCTTCAGGAATAATTTTTTTTTTTAATAAACTATAGTTATGGTCATGAGTAACTACACTGTTTGACGTTGTATCTACTAACTAGTAGGAGTTTAAAAAAGATATACAACTGTTAATTTCCATTTAAGAGAACTTATAACTTATAAGTATTCACTAAAATAACTAACTTTCTCATGATCGCTATTATTTATGTTAGTTGGTACAGCTCTAGTTTTCAGCCTTGGTTTTTTTAAACAAATCTAGTCACAAATATATAAGAAATTTTCTTAATATTATTCTTAATATTATTTTATACTTAATTCTAAATAAAATAATTTAATTAAGGTATTTTAAAACTCACAGAGTATTTATTTTTGCCATTTCCAGACACCCAAGTATTAATTATGTCGCTACTTTTAAAATGTTTAGCACACACTCTAGAGACACTGGTTAGTTGTGTACCTAAAGATTTTTCCCATACAGCAATATCTTTAATAGGGACGACAAATTTTGTTTTGGAACTCTCGTGACATCCATTTACACAGCATTTATTTGACACCATAATAACGTTTTTAAATAGATACAAGAGAATTATGAAATATCTTTTACTTTCTAAATAATAAACATAAATGTTGGCATAGGATATAGGAATCAGGAAGAGTATAATAAAAATAAACATTTATATCTGATAAATACAAAATCTATATTTATATAATTATATAAATAATATATTATAATATATACATAATACATATAATATTTTACATAAAAATTAAAAATTCTAAAGCCCGTCTAAAATATTTGTTTGAAAATGTTTAAAACAACAGGCTGTTGGTTGATTTTATCCACGCTTGGAGCGTTAGTAGTTATTCTCGCATAGTTGATCAGCTGTTTAAACCCAACATTTAAGCGCACCGCTTTTGATGTGTATGTGCATAGGGTCAAGGTGGATTGATAAGGTGTAAACACTTGGCTTATTAGTTGATTGAAAATATTACACCAGTGCAGCTCACCGCTAGATCGCGTTGCCTACCCGATAGAGGAGCAAAAATACCCAGCTTCGTATGCAAGATTTAAAGAAAATTTAAGCAAAACACAATAAATTACCAGTGTATTTGTTAAAATATGAATAAATTATAATTTTTTAACCACAATAAAAAATGTCTATTATTTATGAACTATCCCTGGAGTCACAATTTGCTTTCTGATTGGTTTAATTGGTGGTAAAGAAAACAATATAGTAGGATCACAAATAAATACAAAATACAAGGCATTGGTGCTTGCATTAATTCTTTTGTATCAACATCAAAATTATTGATTAATGAAAAATCGTCACACTATACTAAATTTTCATTTAATTTTTATTGTTTTGTTAATATAAATTTAGAACATTATAAAATGACTAATTTATGTTTTGTTCCTGGGTGTAATACTGGTTTGCCTAATGACCGAAAGTGTTATGAAGGTAAAATGATAAACAAAAGTATAAACATGTATAAAATATATAATTTTCTAATTGTATACCTATATCCATAGTGTAATAACGAGTAGGTAGTTTCAAGCCACAAAATTTGGACACATCTTAATTATATTATATAATTTATGAATACAAAAATAGCTATTTTACATTATTATATTATATATTTATATGTATTATTAAATATATCATAACTCATAACGCATTTCTACAAAAAAAGTTGAAAACCTTAATACATTACATTTAAATCACATATAAATATTAACATTTTTTATCCTCTATAGGGTAGGCAGCGAACCTAGCGGCATATTTAACTGGAGTAAAGTTTTCGATCACTTTATCTAAGACGGGCGGGTGGAAGTGTTTACACCTTATCAATCCACCTTGCATAGGGTCGTTGAGTAACCTGTAAATCTTTAATCGTGACAACAATCGACAGAAAACCACAATATTATTTGAACTATTATTAACCCACGTGCGGAGTCGGTGACTTCCGATCCGTCTTTTTGTTTTCTTGGCAAAAGTCGTTTGAACCTTTTACTCTTGTCGTCGTCATAGCGCCGTCATGGACGACGAGTGCATAAATCATAATTGCAAATCCGGTCCCAATAGGAAGCTGTTCGTCGCGCCGAAGGATGTGTGCAGTTATTACGCCGTCAAGTACGGGCCGAATCGCAAGGTTTGTAAGCCCTGTTTGGTGAAGAGTTACCGATATTTCGACAGTGTCTGCAGGCGATTTAGAAACCAAGAATGTGTGCTCGACGACGAACATCCGGGAAAACGTAGAACTATTATCGAGTTGTCTGACTCCGACGACGACGACGATGCTGCTACAGAGCCGTCGACAGAAGACCCTAAATTGTCTACAGCGGTGAAACGAATCTTAAAGGATACCGTGGGACCGTTGGTGGCCAAACAAGACGAACTGTGCGACAACTATTTGATCGCCAAAAAAGCCAAACTGGAAAAACGAAATGAAATAGTAAACGATTTGGTGCGGCAGGCAGAAGACGGAATCTCGGAACTATACAAAATGTTGTACAAGCATGATGGTCAGAGGAAGTTTGAGTTCGACGAAGAGCTGAGTATCATGGACGAAGTCTGCTCCCAGTGTGAACTCTGGAACCAGGACGTAGCCTTTATAACGTCTAAACAGTTGCCTGGATTTCCGGATGATTTGCCCACAAGAGTCAAACTGATAAGACCCTCATTGAGACAGGGCGACAAAGTGTATGGAATGAAACAGTCGCTACTGCATCCGTGGGCGGAGGCGACTGTTAAGTTAGCGGTCAGTGAAACCGATAGATATTTTCATATCGTATTCGACGACGGACAAGAAACAGTTTTGAATTATAAACATTTGGCGTACATAAATACCTCAAGCAAGGCACAGCATCCAATAGGCAGTAGAGTGATCGCCAAATTCCAAGATACGAACATTCAACTGACTGATAAATTCTATGCAGGAATTATAGCAGAACCACCAAAATACCTCAACAATTTCAGGTAGGTACCTATGTTTGATACGTTTTAATGAATAATTTAGGTAGGTAGGTACCTAATCTTTATAATGTCTTTAGAACATTTTTTAAACAATCATTTTCTCTTTTTGTAACAAAAAAGTAATTAGGTAGGTAGGTCTACCGCCTACTTATAAAAATAAAATTACTTTTATCATAGGTAATTTGAAAATGTGAAATGCACTAAAACAACTGAGTTTGGGTCATATTGGTCTAAATGACGATAAGCTTCTTCTTTTTGCTAAACAAATTTGTATAGATAGGGTAGATTTGAATGCTGGGTACATTTGAATAATATAATTCGTTACAGATTATTTACATTAATAAAAATAATAATCGTAAGTCGGTGACAATATTTTGTATACCATATATTATGATCATCAGGCATTTTTGAACAATTTTGTGAAAAACAAAAATAATAATATGATTTTCCAGTTTTTTTTTAAAAAAAAAAGTTGTTTCCATAAGAACATTTTGGAAACTAAAATTCAAAATCTCAAGTTCAGAATTAAATATACCTAATTCAAAATATTGTTGCCTAGTAATATATTTAATGTACCTAGGTACATACATTATTTATAATTATTAAAATTTTTATTACTATTATGGGGTAAATTTGAATCTTCATAGGGTGTAATATAGGTTCCTCCTTCTTGAAATACCTATCTTATGGCTGGAATAGACTAGTTTACTGGATTTATGTCACAAGATGTGGATTTATCTACCTATAAGAAAACCAAAAAAACTAAATTTTCACAAGAAAAAAAAAGTTGACAAGAAAACATCTAAATATAATTGTAAAAAATTGTTATTATATTATATCCAGCTAATTTTTATTATTAAAGACACTTATTCAAATCTACCCTCTGCACGTCAAATATACTTAACTTAATAATTATAAATTAAATTGATTATTTAATATATAGGTAAGGGTGTTATGAGTCAAATAGTAATCAGAAATTCACAACCATCTAGACTACAGATATTAATTGTCAAAAAATAAAAAATAAAATGTAAATTTCATACAAATCTGCCCCGCTCTCCCCTACACAATTTTTTTGTGAATAGACCGAACCAGAAGATGAATCATATTATATTAAAATTAATGACCATTTGTTAAACTTGATGATGGCCAAACTCTAAACAAAAGAAAAACAAATTTAAGCCTATCTGGATTATAGAACTTATCTCTTTCCAAATGTTTTAATAACTAAGTGAATTTATCCATCTGTTATCCAAGAACCAAGTTATGTACTTCATTATATAATTTACATATTAAATTATATAGGTACCTACAAGTATTATATCAGTAAAATGTTTTAAATAAAATATCTGTCCATGTATTTATAGGAAGTCATGAAATGTAGTCTCTGTTGTCCGGTTTTTAGTGTAAATAATATGTTTATATCGTTCAATACTGGATATGTGTCCATAATAATGTCATGTCATTAAAAAATTTACCTATTTTATAAAGCTAAATTTAATGAAACTGGTACTTACACTTAAATGAAGAAACCGACAATTTACTGAAAAAATTTTAAAAATGTTTTAATGACATTAAACAAATTCACCTATGGTTTTAAAAGAAACTTATAATAGGTATTAGTTATTAATTTATTTTTATTTAGTTTACCATGTTGCCCAAACAAATTTGTTTTATTATTATTGGGAGAATGGTAGGTAATCCCGTTATTTAAATAAAGTAATTTAATAACAACAACTTACTTAATATCAAATAATGTAAAATTATCCTACCAATGCCTAATACAATAAAAATAGAGTAATTTTTAAAAACAATTTTTATACTGTTATAAAACAGACAAAGAGCATCTTAACTATTTTCTCAAATAACTAACTACCTATATATTATATATTTATCACAGCTTATAATAGAACACTTTTTTGATTTGTCTTAGGTATCTTATATTCTTTGATGATGGATATACACAGTATGTATACCATAAGAATATTCGCCTTGTGTGTGGTCAGTCACGATATGTGGAGAACGATGTACACGAAAATGTTCGTGAATTCATCCGGGTTTATTTAAAAAAATTTCCAGAACGGCCTATGGTAAAGTTTAGTAAAAAACAAATTGTTCGCGCAGAACTAAACAACATATGGGGTTCAGCCAAAGTGAAAAATATAGATGCATCATTAGTACAGTTAAAATTCCTTGATACCAAGAACGGACACACAGAGTGGATGTATCGTGGCTCAAATAGGTTGGGCCCAATATTCAATCAATTAAGTAGTAGCAAACAAAATAAGCCTGCACGTGGTTTGACTGATGTTAATAAGTTATTAAATCGGCCATATATTGAACTAGAAAACCTGACTGGAAATGATAAAACTATTAATATTGCTGACAGTGACAACACTCGAAACACTCAAGAAAATAGTGGTGTAATTAAATCAATTGAAATACCGGCAAACTGTCCAAAACCTCTTCCTTACACTGCCCATCAATGTTCTAATTTGTGTAGGATAAGTGTTCAATATGACGACAGTCAAGCAAAAGATGTGAATGTTTTAAGCTTTCCATTATATATTGGATTTATGAGGTCTATAATAACAGATGAAAAACTAAAATTAAAAAAAGTAATATATACCACTCCTTGCGGGCGTAGTATAGATAATGAAGGCAGAATGTACGAGTACTTGAAAGTGACAGGGTATGATACTTACCAAATTACTATAGATGTATTTAATTTTGATTGTACGGTGGATCCGCTGTCTAAGTTTATCGTACCAAAAGTGTTTATTCGCATACCCGACATATCATACGAGATGGAGCCTAGACCGATAAGCGTTGTAAACAGTTTGAATGACTCGGTACCAAAACACATTAAGTATATAAAAGATCGCAAAACTACCCCCGGCATTAATTTGAATATAGACTCAAAATTTTTATGTGGATGCAATTGTATTGACAATTGCGAAGACAAAGAAAAATGTTCCTGTTGGCAACTTACCAACGAAGGTCCAAAAAATTATCCCAATTACTTCAAAGACCATGATGACATTGGCTACAGTTTCAAACGGCTACACAAACGAGTAATCACTGGTATTTATGAATGTAATTCCAGCTGTAAATGTGATAAAACTTGTTTAAATCGAGTTGTTCAAGAACCACTGAAGACATCACTGCAAGTGTTTTTAACTGAAAATAAAGGATGGGGGGTGAGAACGCTTGCTGATATTCCCAAAGGAAGTTTTGTCTGTACATATCTGGGAGTGGTTCGCACAAACGATGATACCGAAAATGATTTAAAAAATGATTGTTCAAACTGGGGCGAGTTTATGGCAGAATTGGATTTTATAGAGGCAGTTGAAGAGGCCAAAGATGGATATGAAAGTTATGTGGTCGACCCTGAAGAGGAAAGTGAACATGATACTAGTTCATCTGATTATGAAGATTTCTCTCCTTCTTCATCCGATGATTCATCTGATGATCCTAATTTTGAAATCCGTAGTAAAATTAATAAAATGTTTGTATCTAAAATGTCGTTAAGGAATTTACAAGATACACATACAAAAATTGATGGTGAACATGAGCTGTCCAAGTTAAATACTCAACAAAGTGATCAAAGTGAAAGCAAATCTTTGCGAAGATTTGTAGACAAAGAATGTGAAGCCTACACATTGGATTCCAAAGTCTGTGGGAACGTAGGTCGCTATTTTAATCATTCCTGTGACCCTAACATATTTATTCAAAATGTTTTTGTTGATACACATGACCTCAGATTTCCATGGGTGGCGTACTTTGCATTATCAAATATTTCAGCAGGAACCGAACTAGCATGGGATTATAATTATACCGTAGGATGCGTGAAAGACAAAAAAATTCAGTGCTATTGCGGAGCAAGAAATTGCAAAGGCAGACTTTTGTAACTATTTTATTTTTTTATTTAAATATTATGTAAAATGTAGTCATATTTAATTTGTAAAATATATATTTTATTAATAAGTTCTATTTTAAACTGTGTATTCTTTTTATTCTTTTATCTGTACTGTTTGTGCCGTACAGGAGTAATCATTATTTATGGTGAAAATAAATAAAAATTATAAACATTTTAATAACAGAGAAACTAAATGTTTGAATATAGAACCAACTAGTGTATTAAAATTTAAAAAAAAATGTATACACTAAATAGTTAACAGTAAAAGGGAGAGGGTTTCATTTAAAGTACATAAGTTTATATCACTACAAAGCACTCAACAGAAAACATCTCAAGAATTTGAAAATGTCTTTACGTATATTATTTAAAATAAAAAAGATAATACAATGAGAATAAGTGTTTTATAATATTGTTATAAATCATTATATCGACGGATAAGAGGCCAAAAGTTGTATGTCCAATTTTTCTCAAAATTGTTTTATTAGTTCATAGGGTTTATCTGGGTCGTCTTTTTGATTCGGTAAAACATTATAAGTCAATATCATGATTAAAATATGTTTTATTTATACTTTAATTTTTGTGTTTTTAGTGCAAGATATATTTTTTTAGTGCACACATATAACAAGTCCTAATTTAATGAGACATACGATAAATATTTTAACAAAATCTAAATATTAAGCAGACAAATATAACAAGTCCGGACTCGTTACTTTTGTCAAAAACAATTTATTGAATTTTGGACGTGTAATGTTTTAGATAATATTGAATTTGATTATCTATTTATAAAAAAAATAATATGTCCGGACGTATTATTTTAAATAATAAAAATTTTTAATTTTAAATTACACTAAATAATATGATATCTTCACTTAGCATAAAATATCATTAAACACTGGTTTTATTTGACTAAAAATTTGATGAAAAATGCTACTTTATTATTTTTCACATTCAATAAAAAATTCCAATATATTTTATATTTTTTACTTTTTTACTGCAATTTTATAAACAAATTGAATTTTTTATATTAAAAAAATAAGTCTTAGGTACATTTTAACTATTTATGTAATAAATTAATTAGAGTTTATATTAAATTAACAACTTTTAATATGTTTTTAATATGTCCATCAAAATCTTATATGTCCATGGTAAAAATATATTATAATTGTCATTCATAACAAGTCCCATTTAAATTTAAAAGAAACATAATTACGTTTGAAAAAATTTTAAAACCTAAAAGTAATAATCTACAGAATTTTTAATAAACAATAACAATAATTAACAAATAAATAAATAGATAAATATTGATTATAAAAAAAAGTTAACATTTTGTAAATACTATTATAAACACAACTGAAAAATTAACTAAAACAGTAATAAAAAAAATGTACACATTATCATGAAAATTAAAGTAGCCCTCATTATGTTTTGTTATAGAAGCTTTAATGTATGAAAGCCACAGTTGGAATATTAGATCTCATGTCTAAAAAACATAAAGCAGCTTTACCATAATCCCAGTCATTTTCTTCTAAACATCTGTAAAAAATAGTTAATAAACAATATAATATTAAAATCACAATAAAGTTAACTGGTGGGCTAAACAATTGGAAAAAAAAAAATGTTTGAGGTGAGTTTAATAAAATTCTCATAAAATTATAAATATCAGATGAAAAATGTCCCATTCTTCTCAAATCGCGATTAACATATAAGTAGAGGGCGGATTTGTATGCATTTGAATATTTATTCTAGTTGATTTTATGATATACAATATACTAAGTTAGCACAGAATTTGTTTCATAACATGGCGATTTAAAAAAGAAACTTTTATTGGCACATATTTTTGCATATTTCGACATTTATCTACTTTCAGGGCTTATTTTACAATATTAATTGCATATTTCGATGTTTTATTTTTTTCTTGGACATTTATGAAATATATACTTTAATAATATAAGAAAAAATATTATATAGTTTCGATTAATATCAAAATAAATGAATAGGAGGTATCTTGTGTATAAATGGTTTTCTCATATAGTTTTATATTAATTGATTCCCATTTTTTTCATATAAATTAAAACTACCTACAAAATTATGAAAATAAAGAAGAATACATTCTTTGGCTCCTCTCAGAACTTAAAACTAAGAAAAGTATTTATAGTACGGTTCATAATTTAAAAAATATTGTTTGAATTAAATGTACAATAAACGCATTTTTGTATGCATATATTTTACTTTTCGTGCAAATTTTAACATTATATTTATGCGTATTTAATTGGTTTTAAATGCATATAAATCCGCGCTCTACATATAAGTAATAACAATAATTCCACTTTCACTAATACGATAAACAAGACCTAAACATATAGGTAATGAGTTACTTTTCAGCCCATTCATTATTCATCCCAGACTCATTTGAAAAACTCTTGATCATAGTCAACTTATCGGAATTTTCATTCACATCATCATGTACAGGCACTTCAGTTGACGATTGGTTTACAGTGGTAAACGCTGTAGTCGAAACCGTTGTTGCGTTGAACATAGAAAATGAAGCAGTTGATTGCTGCGGAAAGTCGGGTTGGACATTTACGGGTGCTGCAGGCTCCATATGTTGGATCTGTGGAGTGGATGTCGGCATGCTCCCTTGACAAGAAGATGATGGTTGCTGTCGATCTATAGGAGCCATCACTAGTGAAGGCTGATAAAATGAAAAATTGTCTTGCTGTTGATAGAACAGTGATGATTCCATTTCGTCTATATCTTCTATAAACATTGTTACATTTTGGTTACTGTAGCCATTTAGATCATCTATTTTTAATGATACTGGTTTTGGTTTGAAAGCATAGAACCGTTTTGAAGTCTCCTGTAATGCAAAATATTTCTATATAAACATATGCCTACTTAAAAGATGAAACAAAACAAAAATTCACTTACTACTAATAAATCTTCGGTGATTGTTGTTATAAACAACATATCGCTAATTATACTCCAACCATTTCCAAACGGCACTATACAGAATGTTCTACAGAATGATCGGCATATATGCTTATAGTCGGTTTCTTTAAAGTCTTCAACAAAAACACCATTTAGGACAATCTGAACCATTAAGGTCTAAATAAATTTTAATCCAATTAGTTTTATGTTATATTACACTAAGAAAGGTATACTATTAATTTATTGTCATATTTTTATAATATCAGCTGTTTAAAGTTCCTTGCCTGTATATATATGAAGATGATGTTAACGCACTGTTTGTTTCCAAGCACAACATAGACAAAAAGTATTTACGTAGAATCATTATTCATTTTTTTGAGGGTATGACATTAGTTTTCCTAAATATTGTCTCAAAAAAAATTTAAAGAACATTTAAATTTATAATTTTTTTTTTTTTTTGAAAGTCGAATAGGTACCAAGTCAAATAATAATGAAATATAAAACCAATATGTCATACCCTCAAATTTTATACTCTATCATTTTTGGAATAGATGATTTTACTCTAAGATAGCTCAAAAATCATAAAAAAAAACTATTTTAGGTGGAAGAGTTTTATCTATGTTGTGCGTGGGCCTGAGAGAAAACCAATATTGCCCTGACATCCTCTTAAAATAAAATAAGATACTCACAGTTGCCAATGGAACATCAACTATGAATGAGCCAAGATCATGCTTGGTTTTAGGTAACTTTTCTAAAAAGTCTATTATGTTTTCTCTGCCTCTATGTAACAAACCATGTCTTTGTTGATTTTTTTGCTTGGATTTCAAAAAATTTCTACTTTCAGGTAGGTACAGAGATAAACTACCTTTATTACTAAAATTAAACACAATTACAATTAGTTAACTGAATTATGTTTTTTTGGTTATTCATATTATATGTATACCAATTTTTAGGTAGAAAACAACTGGATAGTGTAAATGTGGCATTTTCACAGTAAGCTTCTGAAAGCATTTGTCTAGACACTTGGTTATCGTATCGTTCATAGTATTGGGTGAGAAATGATTCTACCATAGTCATTATTGGATTTGGCAATTCAGGATTATGGCCTTTTGGTATTGGGTAACTATTACCCAAGTTAATTGGCATTTTAAACTTGGATTCAACAATCGCACTGTACTGAGACGGCACTTCTGAGTTATCCTGAAAACAATTAATTATCATTGCATTACATCCTAAACATCATTTCAAATTAATAAATATAAACAGTATTTAAAACTTGAAACGTTTGTCCATCAAATACTTATTTATTTTTTACCTGTTTTCAAGTACTAAATTAGATTATGGTAAAGTAATAAATCAAAATTCTAAATATTATTTTTATTGCTATCAAGTTATAATATTTATTATTATTATAGCTACACCTTTCATATTCATATTTATTCATATTCATATTTTGTTTAATTAAATGCATAAAATAAAATATATCGCCATTTGACAATAAAACTACTATTACGCATAAATAAAATACAATATGCTATTATAGTTATGTTAGAATGTGTATAAGGTTCACGTTTAATCAATCATCAATTACGTCTCAACAAAATGTTTTATTTTAATATAACTGAATCAAACTTATATTTATCATAGCCATTGAAATACTCATGATGTAATTTTAATTTGAAATTTAAACCAGGTTAGATGATGTACATACTTTAGAGTTATAAGACACCTTACCTTAGAGGTTTGGAATACACTAAAAATAATCATAATATTGTTAATGCTAGCACTATAAAAACATCGGTCTTGATGTTCGTCGCTAGTGTACAAGAAGAATAAGATAAAATGAATGACACTTACCAACTTGTTTAGCATAGGAAAACATTTTTGTATATCCCTAAAACATGTATAGTATGAATATATTAGGTTAAGTGGTGTTAAAACTGGAGCACAGAAAAAAATATGCATACCGCCTGTAACGCTCTTTGTTCTTTGTGTTACACACAGGATTTCTGGACAAGTTCAGCCCTTCAATAGTGTAACCTGAGAGACACTTTAGCACGTTTAGATCAGATAACTGCAATACAAATTATTTTAGCCTATATTGGTCTTATAAAACTAAAAATTAAGAACACATTACTTTGTTACCAGCCAAATTCAATACTTTCAGTTCGGGGAACAACCTACGTATCCATTTAAGACCTTCACCTAAATATATGTGATTGTTTTCAAGACTCAAGCCGTACAAGTCATGTTTGGTATGTTGAGCAGCTATGTTGAGCGCTGCCAAAAGAACTGCCGGTCGATTTAATGGTACAAACAGTTGAACATTGGTAAAAACTAAAACAAAAATAAAAATGTATTTCCATATTTCTTTTAAAACTATTATTAACTTAATATAAAATAAACTTTTACTTACGTGGACATGCATACAATTTCGACAAGTCCAAAGTCTTGTTACTAGGATTATAACGAGTCGCCATGGCCTCTACAATTTTCTCTTTTACTTCACTAGATACTGGTGTGAATGATGTAGGACCATATGGAGGCAAATATAGTGACACTTGTATAGTTAACTAAATACAAATATTCATGTTGAAATAAATTTGAAAAACTCATCATTTTATGTCTACAATGGCACAATTTCAACTTACTTTTTGATCATCTCTGTGTGTTATCTTATAACTAGCGTTGTACAATACTTTAGCAACTTTATTATCATCAACAAGAAATCTTAAAGCATTATCAAAATATTGCTTCTGTAAAATAAATATTGATTATTATATTAATAAATTCTAAAAGTAGGTATACAAATTGCATAGAAATAGCATACATTATAAGGATAAAACACGACCGGTGTGATGTAAGTTTGTATTATTTTTAAGACTTCGTCACCATCTTCAACATTTGGCACCTTAAAACCAGAATAATTATAATTTAAACATGTACAATGGATATATTAGAGATTAGAACTTACAAATACTGAATACCATCCAGTTCTACTTTCTTTTAAAGACCAAGATAAGTTATTGTATCTACCACGACCACGAGGGCGATAATTTCTTTCAGGAAAAGATCTATTAAATGTCCACATTGACGGGTAAATTATTTGATTTTAGAAATAGTAACAAACCAACAAAAGTTGAATATATACCGTCGGCCAGGTAGTCCATTTTGATTTGAAAATTCACTTTTCAGTTGATCAAGAACCAAGTCATTTGTACCATCCCAACTTCTACGAAAATGATTATCTCCACGGTTTTTTGCTTTAAATGTCACATTTTTACTAACACCAAGACGATCTGAGTATCCCCCACCGCTTTGACTAGTACTAGGTCTTGAGGTTCGTTCATGTTCACAATCTGAAATTTTGAAATTAAATATTAACAGTGACGGAAAATAATTAAAGATTTTCATTGATTTGTTGTTTTTTAGTATAAATTAATATAATGAACTAATATTATTTAATATATTTTGTGGCTAGTACAAAGCTGAGTATTTCTATTTCTTATTTGAATAATTCATCAAGAGAAAAATGTAGCAATTTAGTACCTATTATTGAATAACCTATCTGAAGATTTGTGCAAAATTCACCGGCGAAAAGTATGATCCATTGATCCCAGACTTAGGTGAACTTACGAGTTGCGACAGTCGTGTAAACTATGGTAAACTATTCAACTATTCTGTGTACCTATTGTGTTAATTTAGTTGTGTACGATGTACCTTATCCTACCTAAATTGAAATTTATTTTTGTCGAGACGCGTGTTTACATTTATCTTTCAATTTGAGGAAAATATGACTTGAAAAAAAAAATGGGCGGTGCGGCTAAAAATATAAAATTACCGCAAACCGCTCAAAAATCGAAAACAATTTCAGGTATGTTTAATAAAAAGACTAAACTTGAACCAGTAAACAAGCAATAAAAAATAAATATTATAATTTAAAACAATATTAATTTGTAAATATATCGTAAACCTATAAAGTAAAGGCGATACGTGATGAATGAGGTAAAATATTTAGCCCCCCCCCCCTATGAGGTTTTAATTTTTAGCCTCCTCTTTAGGCTCGTAGTTGGAACCCAAATCTTTACGAAAAAAAATAATGTGTAATATAATAAATTATTATATTATAAAATAATATTATGATTTAATATAATTGACATTGTGTACAGTGTAGGTATAGCTGGATGTACCAAGTACGAATTTATCGTAATTTGTCATAGTTTTCGCGGGAGAAATGTGTATCTACTTATTGCATATTAGCTTCAAGCCGGAGCCGGTAAATTGCGTCCCCCAAAAAAGGTCATATAGTTATATACTACGTAAATTGCGGCCCATGTACTTTTAAAACATGCTTAAATTGCGGCCCGGGTATATTTGAAATGTACGTAAATTGGGGCCTGGGAAACATTTATACATGACAAAATGTATGAATTGCAAGCAAAAAAAATTACTACGTTAGACTATGTGCGAGAATTGTCTTACAAATTTTTACCAGTTTCTAAATTACAAATTTTTTATAATAAATTAATTTAATAATACATTTTTTAACCAAACACATTTTTCCAGACACATTACTACTAATTGCTAATAATATATTTTTTAATTAAAAACAAAAAACAGCAAAACCAATATTGATATTACAATTATATTGACAGTCCTAAGTCTGAAAAATGAGAAGGAAAATATTGATTTTGCAAAAAAAGGCTTAGACGTAATTATTACTTATAAATAAAAAATATTTGGGTATAGGTACCTAATACAAATTATACCCTGGCCGCAATTTCCGTATGTATAAAATATACTCAGGCCGCAATTTACGTATTTATAAAATATAGCCAGGCCGCAGTTTACGTATGTACAAAATATGCCCGGGCCGCAATTTACATAAAAAATTAAAAATGGGCCGCAATTTACAGTGACCCCTTCAAGCTTACCTATATAGTATATACTTACCCTATTGTATATAATATTAATATATTATTTTATTACCTTTAAATAGGTACACGTGTCCCGTATTGGTATACCTATTCTTATAATATTATAGTTAAGTACCTATATGGCTATATTAGTTGTATCGCACAACAGTGGTTGAATACTATTTTAATACTATATTATATAATCATTTTATTTTCCAATTCTCAGTTCTGAATTTACTGTGCGTCTGTGGCACTCTCTGTGCAGACTGCAAAGTAGGTAGGTATTATTACAGACTGTCACAGCAGTTATTTTTATTTTTGAGTACGTATACGGTATACGTAAATAAGTTAGATTTTATTGTACACAATTATCAACATTTTCATTATATTCAAATTAAAAAAATCAAGCAGTCCTAAGCACGAAGATGACCCAAAAACATGATTGTTTATATTAAATTTTGGTTTTAGCGGACTTTTTGCAACAACTAAATTTCAGTGAATCTTATAAGGGGGGGCTTTTCCCCCCACTTGTTATTTCACACTTTGGTTTTGTAGGACTCCAGCCCCTGTAACTAAGAAATCCTAGTTACGCCCATGCTCATATCTAGGAACTAGGATATTATTATTAATATTTAGTTGTTTACACAAAATATTATGTGGGAACTATCACACTCGATGATCGAGAATTCTCAATAACAACCAGCTCTACACGTGTTTTCCAGAACATTGGCCCATAAGAGCGATAGTACGATCGGTAGGTATATTTTACAATATTACGTATCTCCAGCCCCAGGTCATTAGTTGGTTGAAAACTTGAAACATCGATTGCTTATTATTTGTCATAACTCATAATATTTAGTTATCACTGTGATTCCTTTTTACTCTTTCGTACTCGTGTTTTCTACTGTGTGTCCGTGTAGCGTAGGTACTAAAGTGTATTACTATTATACATTTATAAGGTCGGTGTCTTTTGTAATATTGACTATTTTGTCTACTTTACATTATTTTTCACAATTACTATGTCTAATAAAAGGAAAATTACTAGCTATTTTTATGCAAGTTGCTCTACTTCTAAACGCTTGGCGGATGAAAAAATAACAATAAGTAAGATCACTAATATCGTTACGGAAAATCAAGTTGTGGACTTGGCGGTAATATTTTTACTATGGCTGTTCGGTAATCGGAAAAAAAATCCCCGAACATAAAATCCAAAATCCCAAAATTAAATACTTATATATAATTTATTGTACTACATAAAATAATAAATATACTCATAACTCGCTTTAAAATTAAAATATAATATAAAACCCTATGATATTGCCTAGATAATAATCTTAACTTTACATTTTATAAGAAGTTAATTCACTCCAGTGGCGTATATAGAAATAATTTTTGGAGTGGGCTATAATGCTATATAATATGATTGACTATTAAAATATGATACTTTAATTTTACAGTAAAATCTAAACAAATTTGTCACTATATAGTCGTCAAAATTACCTCCCACTAAATATAAATAATTGCGGTGTTATAACTTTTTTTCGTCTAGATAATGTTATTAGTTAAGACTTTTATTATAAAATTGATAATTTTTGTATATTACATCATATTAATACTTTAGTTAAAAAATCATTTAAGATGTTAGGATTCATAAACAGGAATACGATTAAATTTAAAAATATTAACTCATTTTTAATATAATATTATTGAATTTCAGTATAATATTTGTCAAATTGAGATTCAACTTACTGTACTTTTAATTTGTATTACCAAAGGGCAAAGAGTATACCTATCCGTTTATAAATAAACAAATAAATGAATATTTATATAATAATATCATATACTTAATATAATATATACCTATTTATCGATATTATAATAATATAATAATTATCATTCAAATTGTATCCAACAGTACGGTTATGTACCTACATAGTTTTGGGGATTTTTTATCCGGAGGTTTTTATTCCCGTGATTTTTTTCCTAGATTCATCGTGGGGTTATAAATATAACTTCCAACGAAGTACTGGAAGAATTAGCAAAAATATTGATTTACTAATGTAATAAAAATATTGTTAATACCTACTATAATATATTTATAAAGTCTGTATACCTAAGTTATAAATAATCCCGTATTTACCATAATTTTATAAATTGATATTAGACATAACCATAAATCATATCTTTTAATGAAAAAATAATGAATGTTAAAAAATGACAAAATCATTTGACCGCCACTGACTGGATGAGAATTCCCGTCGCGCTCAGTGAAACCGAAAAAAAAATGAAACGAATACGCACAATCCAATAATCATCGTGTTTGAAATGTGGATCCGACATATTATGAATATATTATTTTAAGAAACAAAAAAATAACAATTATTAAGATAGATAGGTCGGCCAAAGAGTGCCGAGTGGCATATTTCGATCTAATCGTGATTGAATGAAAACAGTAAGCACGTTAGTAGTAGACGATAAGTTGGGCCTAACTTGTAACCAACTATATTATATAAGTTCGTTCGAGCTTTTCGAGCGCCCAACCATCAATGCCCAGACATCATAAAATCGTCGATTCGTATACGATATTATAATATACACCTACTCACGTTGATGGACGTCGTCGTGGAATCTGCCATTGGTTTTGCGTCCTTCTGTCAATCCGCCAGACATGTTCAGTAGACGGTAAGTCTACAGTAAACGATTATGTTTGAATATTAAATAATCCCAAATTTAATACCGTAAAGTTTCCTTTAAACTTAAAGTTTTGACTATGATAATACGCACAGAAATCATTAATCAGAAAACAGTAAAAAAAAGTAAAAAATAAAAACGTAAGATTCGATTACAGAAATAAAATATAAATCGTCCAACGGCATTTGATAAGGCGACTCCCCCAGTCACGAATTTTGTTTTTTAGAGTTGTCACCACTATCATGTACAGAATTTTCTAACGATTAAAACAAATCATCAAACTCGTATTTGTAAAAATAAATTTACATAAATGGGTATGGATATCTATCTATATAGTTTTCAGGATGAAGAATAATTAATTTTATTACGAATAGGTATTTGCATAGGTACTTTCTTTGTTTTTGATATTTATAATTATAATTATAATTTATTTATATGTATCAATGCCATTAAAGCCTGGGTTAGAAAACGATTTATTGAACTTAATGCTTATAAATCTAAATTCATGTTTTTCATATAAATAATTCTAAAGTCCCTTTAAATTTTAAAATATGACATCACCTATTATTATAGCTACAGTTGCTTAAGTAAAATACATACGTCATACTTGTAATTGCAATAATATACTCGAAAATGTTTCTAAAATTAAATATTTTGCCATTATCTTCGATCATAATCTTAAACGGAAAGAGTCCATATTTTATTGTATTTGTAATTTGTAGTCTTACTATAAATACTAGCTCTAAGTGTAACTCGGGGCCCGTCGGACTCGCTGGGAGTGGGTGCCGATTTTGGAGACAATGAATTATAAAAGTCGCAAAGGTGTTTCCAACATTGTCATAGATAATGTTTCCGATTTCCGCTCATAAGCGGTAACATAAATATTTGTCGACGACAATGTCAGAAACATATGTTTCCTACAAATGTTTCTTGGTCTGGACCGGGCTTAAGACGAAAGTGTAGGATTTGTGATAAGGATTAGTGATATGGATTGGAGATAAGGCTAGACGCTTTGGCGGGAATGTTAAAAGTTTGAGCGTCTAGCAATCCGTCACAAACGTTGTAAATGGATAGGCTGGATACGATCTCCAAGATCACCTATATAGAGTATACCTGCACATATAGAGTGGTATGTGCCGTAGCATGACCGGTGCTTTATCTTATGTAAAAAGTGTAAAGTCGAAAACCGTGTTGGATTTTCTAGCAAGTCAGTCATCTCAAGTCAAAATCTATTAAATTTCAAGTTAGCCACTTGGGTAGGAAATCCATCTGCGGTGGATTGCAGACCCGACGTCAAGCGGCTATAAGTGAAAACCCTATCACACAACTTACGAAATAATTTACGAAAAATTCAAACTATATACAATATACATACAAACAAATATGATATGTATTTATTGTGTGATATAATAATATAACAATGAACATTTTGAGAAATGTGCAATTATAATTCCTAAAAAAAATTAACATATATAGGTAGATAGTTAGATACATACTATTATATTAACCAATACAATACATATAAACATGTACCTATAGGCTATAGTGTATATATATTAATTTAAAAAAAAAATGCAAAAACCTGCATGTTAAAGTGTCTATAAAGTCAATCATCACCGTTTAAGACGAAACTAAAATGAGCAATCCGTCTATCACCTATATGTAGTAGGTATATCACATAGAGTGGTTTGTGCCTTCTCATGTCCGGTGCCTTTTCTTATGTAAAAAGTGTAAAGTCGAAAACCGTGTTGGAGTGTCTAGCAAGTCAGTCATCTCAAGTCAAGATCAAGATTAACTTTCAAGTTAGCCACCTAGGTAGGCAATCCGAAATAAAATACAAACTATATTTGTATAACAATCATGGAAATTTTAAAAAATATGCAATTATAATAATTCCTAATAAAACAAATATAATATGTACCTATTTATTGTGTGATATAATATGACATTGACTTTAAATAATAATAATGTACGATAATAATATGTTCCTGTATTATTATAATATTATTATTCAATTTATTTGAAAAATATTATAGTGAAAAAAAAATGCATATGGCAATGACGGTTTCGACGCCCGGCGAGCGTACGACGGATTCGAACCTACGTGTTTCCTACCTAACGCCCAACCTACTTGGACACAGTTTGGGATATGAATTACGGTCAAAACTCAAAACATCAACACTTAAGCCATGCGTCTACGGAGCGACTTAAACCGATATATTCGATGTACATCGATGAAATCGCATATAATTCGCTTGTAATACGCGCATCTTCCATATATATATTTAACGGGGCGTGTGAAAAGAGTTTTCCGTTAATAATTATTACATCATAGGGAAAAATTAAATTATACACGTATATACCTACATGTATATATAGGTACGCGTACGGTCGGTCGGTCGCCGGCGTAATTGCTAAACGCGATTGCGAGGCGGACGAACCGATTTCGGGGGAAAAGCCCATATAAACGGCTTTAAAAAGACGTCGACTACACGATTCGGGCACAAACGGCGTGCGAATAGACGAAACGGTGGGAGAAAAGGAAAAAATCGGCAAAAAAGTCCGGTCGGGAGTGTATTTTTCGATCGACATTGCGACCGCTTCGGACGGCGCACGAATATAAACCGCACACCGGAGGCTTCGAATTAAGTATAAAAAAGGACGAAAAGGGTCGAAATCGTGTAAATCCAGGTAATTCTCCGAAAATTTCAAAAATCGGCGAAATGATAGGAAAAGAGGTGATAACGAAAAACGTTTTAAAACCGACCGCTGCGAAGGTACGCGATTGGTCGCGCTATAAGGAATCGACGGGACAAGGCCGGCGGGCTGGGGAAACGGAGTGGTGCTTCATTTTTTACTTCACGGTTTCACTATAGCCCGCGTTTTCCGTTCCACGGGTTGCTTGTAGACAGCCTGCTGATTTCCTTGTCATTTTATAGTATAGGAAGGATTACAGACTGACAATTTCCATCGTGGTAACATACCTTCAGTCTTGTAAAGTATTCGAATACAAGTATTTGAATACTTGTATTTAAATACTTTTTGAAGTATTTATATGGTATTCTAAATACAATTTTTTTGATGTATTTTTTAAGTATTTTTAATACTTTTTAAAAGTATTTTTAACAAAACGTAAACACTTGTATTAAAACACCATAAAATCCATTTTATAAATTTTATTTTAGTTTTTCACAAAAAATTGACATCAATAAAAATAATATTGTTTTCGTTGAAAACTAATATTATGTTTTTGTATAATACAAATTGTATTGTAAAAGTAGGTAATAACAATGTTTAAAATTATAAAAATACCACATCAAATTTTATATGGTTTCTGTATAGGAATTTTTAAGAAAACAGAAAATCTAATAAATTTTAAATAGTTCCATATTAATAGTTAATACCACTTTTTATTTTATTTTTGTCTTTAAAATGTAACCAATACTAGTTGAAATATATCTAAATGCAGAATGAAATATGTAAAATGTATTTATCTCAAAATAGTCAGACGACAGACATGTTAATAGTCATTGTTAAAATCTATGGTAAGTACTAAGTAATAACATAATAGGTACGTACTACGTATACTGATGTACAATATATATATATATAATAATAATCTTCTTCTTATCGTGTCTGGTGCTAGGGCTATATGCTATTACATTAATACATAATTACATAAATACATGAAGTTGTCTAAAAATAGATAGGTTAAAATATGAGTATAAAATATAAAATATAAAATAGAATGTTTAAATATTTTGTTTTAGCCAGTGAATTGTAATTGATATTGCTTTTTCGTTGGCTAAAGCCAAGTCGTCGGTCGTGCATCCTGGCGGGGCTAGTGTGCACTGTAGTAACTAGTAAGTGGTCATCTGATTGGTCTTCGCCACATTCGCATAGTATATCCATTTCTTTCTGGTATCCCCATTTCATCATGTTTGCTTTTGTTTTTGCTACTCCAGTTCTCAGCCTATTCAATGTCTTCCATATAGTCCATGGTTGGTTTCCTCCGCATGGTAGGTGCTCAGCAAACGGGACAGGTTTTTCACATTGTAGCTCTTCTCTCCATTTTAGTATTCTGTGTTGTTCAGGTGGATCTTGGATCGTCGTTGAATTGGCAATAAAGCTTCTTCGGGATTTAAGTCTCCTTTGGCGTCCTGAGTAGCCATGCATGGGGTGTCTTTGATCCATATAATAATAATAATAATAATAATAATATTTTATTTATTACTGAAATAAATTCCAATTACAGTTTTTTTTTTCATATATATTATATAGCATAAACTGTAATACCTGTATTTGTATTCAAATACTTTGTGAGTATCTATTCGTGAAATGCATTTTTATAATAGTATTTTAAAAGTATTTTTAATACTTTTATATTCGGATACTAGTATAAGTATATTAATACTTTTTCAAAAGTATTTTTTACAAGACTGCATACCTTACCATATGCTTGGATATATTATTATCGGTTTGATACCAGCTGGTTCGGTGGTGTTATATAGCCACTTTTTATCCGGTTCACAAGTAATCGAGCGATACTCAAATATAGGTATAATATAGGGCTAAGGTTTACAATATGCAATATAAAATATAAAAGCGGGTAGGTGGATTTCGCTCTGCTGTACAGTGGGTTACAACTTACAAGTAGGTAATTGTATAATGAATTGTATTAAACCTGAATTCAATAATATTCTATCATTGTATAAGAAAAATGATTCTGAGCGGAAACGGTCTGTCAGTCTGGATATTTTATATTGTCATTAATTATTATATCATGTAAGTTAAATTAATAATTAATATTATAATATTATTATTTTTTTCTATGGTAATAAACAAAGAGTTAGAAATTAAAATCTAATTTTTAGAGGTTTTTCGTAATTGTCGGTGTTTTTAACAGTGGCATCATTAATAACTATTGATAAACTCGAAAAAATGACCTCTCTAAAGTACCATCTTGGTCATATTTGCTA